TAAAGAAACATTTGCATAATAAAGGGAATATATTAAAAGAAAACACAGAGGAAGGGAACAGATGGAGCTGGGAGAATGAGATGTGGCAAAGCTAAACCAAACCGCCTTCTGCATTGAGTCATCACATGTGTTCCTCTCGTCTTTCAGGTGAGATCGCCATCCGTGTGTTCAGAGCCTGCACCGAGCTGGGGATTCGAACCGTGGCAGTGTATTCAGAGCAGGACACTGGACAAATGCACAGGTATTAGTGTGTGCTACGTTAGAGTGAACCGTAGTGTTTTAAATAAAGATGGCTTCACGGGCATATGTGTTGCTAAATGTCTCGCCTGCCACTGCTGGATATTGATTACAGAATGCTAACAGCCGATTAGAGGTAATAGCAATTGAAAAGGAGTCTTGGGAGCATTTTTCTCCGCTCCAGTGCTTTGGGTGGGTTCTTTGTTTTGCAGTTGATGTTAAGTGGGGACATAAGTATAATTGTGTTGACATTACAAACATTCAGGTAATCTCACAGCTTAGTTTACATGCACACAAACTAATCTGGCTCTTTGTGAGCTTCAAATATGACACGGATACTTTTCTACCTGTTCCTGTTTTTCCTTCCTAATGCGTTTGCTTTTATTCGGCTCCACTTTTATTCCATCATTTTCTATTTCACTCTTTATATGCAGCATTGTACGCAATAAACGCTGATCACGGTAATGTTTTAAGTGTTTATAGTTTACCTGATTTACTGAAGTACTCCTGTCCAGTATTTACTAAAAGCTGGTGCATATTTGTACATGCAGCCTGATTTTTCTACATTTATATTCTGAGCTGGCCACCTTCCGTCTCACTAATGCACGTCTTTGCGTGTTCTCGTCTTCACAGGCAGAAGGCGGATGAGGCTTACCTGATTGGGAAAGGCCTGCCACCTGTTGCAGCATACCTGCACATTCCAGACATCATCAGAGTTGCCAAGGTAACGAGTTTTCACCTTCACAAAAGTAACTCTTCCACTTCACCTGTATGGTGGTTCACATGTCTCAAGAGAAACTTGGAAGAGCTAACAAAGACACAATAAAGCCACTGGGAAGTACAGCTATGTGATAATCAGATTTTTTTTCACTTATTATTTTGGCTCTCGGTGGAGTTAAATAAACAAAATGAGGCAATTCAGATAAAAC